GGGGGGGGGGCGGTGTGTGAAAGATTTATAATTTGTGTCAGAGAATCGTTTAGCTCAGTACCGTGGGACGACAAAACAGATGGCCTTGTCTTGTCGATAAATTATGAACAATGAAAATAAGAGAAGCACGACTAAATAATTGTGTCGCTTTGGTGTGGCAGTAGGTTTCTTTTATTTTCGTTGCCCACAACTCACCGAAAACACTGTTGGCCAGTCGTTCTGTGGTTGTGCGGTACGAGGCTCAGGTTCTTTGGTGAAAATGGTGAAAATGGTGAAGTGGTATGGGCTTAACGCCTCCGTCAACACTATTAGGTTATTTAAAAGGCGGGAACTCCGAGTTTAATGTCCATCTCCGAAAGGACAGAGCCAAATGGGAATTTCGGGTAAAGTGCCTTTCCCAAGGACACAACGTCGGACCGAGCTGAGGCTCGAACCTCCGAATCTGCAATCTCACGATTTCGAGTCCAGTAACCTAACCACTAGGCCACCTACCCCACTCTATCGTCCTTACCTCTCCTCTTTTTCTTGTGTTTGTTAGTCCTTCAAAGCACTTCTAATATTCGGTGGACAAAGTGCGTCACACAAGACGCACGCACGCTCTTGCGCAATCTACATGTTGAGCGTTCCTTTTCCCCTCGATCCCGGCTTCACAGGACGAGCAGTTTCAAGAATTATTATTAACTAGTCCAAACCCCTTCTCAACATCGTGTACGAGGCCTAAAATAGAGATAACACTAGGGCTCTCGAATGTATTGAGCTGAAAGAAGTGGCTGATGTCCGTTGAGAGTGAACACGTAAATATCCGATGTGATGGGATAATAAGGCTGCTAATTTTGAGAGTGGAAAAATCGGTGAGGTTGGAAGTGTACGTACTCAGCATCGACTCTGATAAGTAGATGTTATTATCAATATTCTGATGAATGGCGTATTTCTTTAACGCTGTTATAATATTAGCTGTTTTGATATTCCAATTGAAAGCTAATGTTTGTTTGAAAGCCCAGCACGGAATTGTATTTATTGACAATCTTTTCTAAAGGTATCTGTGCTTACGGGTCGTCATTTACAGTTTTTCTGCGCTTCCTGTCACTATGGCAGCAGTTGTTTACCCATAGCTTGATTTGATTTGTTGTTTTTGTCTTGGTGAAACTTCGGGAACCAAACAATGACTCACTCAGTCAGGAATAGAAAAAATACCGATTCTGTCGAGGCAGTAAAATGATTTGCAAAACTCACTTCATTGCAGAGATGTTTTTGCTTTCCCATATAAAAACTGCAAGAACATTGTTATATTTGTGATGTTGTAAAAAAGAAACCATTTTTCCGAAAGCCGGAGATTGGAAAGAAAAAACTCGCCTTTATTAGAAAAGTAATTTTCTTAAAACCTGAAACCCTCTTGCCCCACTTTCTTACGGAGAAGTAATGGGAACTTAGCGCATGGTTCTTGGAAGCGTGCTAGGTATCCAGAGTTGTAGCATTGATTCTACGGGTACCATTAGCTGTCTGAAACCTCATAACGACACATTTCCATCCGTAATGGAAGGTGGCATCCCGACAGAATGTTTCTGGGAGGGAACAAATTGTACAATGTCCCGTTGTTTCTATATAATGACATACATCATAACAATACAAATATTGCAACGTTTCGCCTTCCCGACGAAATTTCGGTGAATTTGTCCACTTTCGCTTGGACCACCTTTCTTTTGTGTGTGCTCTTTTAATCGCGTTTTGTTGTAAACGTTTTGAATTCGCAATTTGAGCCACCCAGTATCATGGCTACGCGTTTAATGCAGTAGCGCCCCTTATGACATTTTGCAAACGACTTGAATCTTGAAAAAGGAGGGAAATGAAAACAAAGTGTGTGTGATTTGTTTGTTTGTTGTCGTTTGTTTGTTGGTTTTTTTTGGGGGGTTTTTTTTTTTGGGGGGGGGGGTGTTACGGTTTTGCAGTTGGTACGGCGTATATATCATTAGGCCTACCATTCTCATAGAGTCTGCTTCACTGATGATGACTGGCACGTTTCCTTGTTCAGAAGGTGAACTGAGGGGGGCAAGAGGGAGGGGGGGATTTGCCAATCCGGAAGACTGTGGAACAGCGACTTCGCTAACTGAATACCTCATCTTGGTGGTATTGGTATTGATACTATGTTTCTTGTCCTGTTTTTACAGCTTGCAGTTTAAGTTAGTATAAATAATGAAAACGGACGGTCAATAGAATTGCGACTGCGCTGGCTGTCCTTTTCTTTTGGTAAATGTTTTACGGCGCTCGCAAATGCATAAGGTCATATCAGCGTGCGGGATACATGAAACATTTTCAGTTGGTAGGGAATTTTGAATTTTGCCCAGGTGCCGGCCAAAGCCTACTGTTATCGATTTTGGACCTCCACGGGACCTTTAATGTTGGCAACTTGCACACGGGACCTCTGAGATTTTTAGCCCTTGTCCGAGAAGACTAGGTGTAGATCTTTTCTACCAGAATATCAGGAGTGTGGCTGAAAGAGAGCTGACAGAAGGAGCCAATGAGTAGCAGTAGAAAGGCTGCAGAAAGAGTCAGGAGCCCAAAGGAGGGGGCAAAGGAGGTGAGGGGGTTGGGGCAGAAAGTGGAGACGAAAACAGACGACAGAACATTGCTAGAGGGCAGGAGAGGAGGTGAAAGGAGACAATTTTAGAGAAAAAAAATATTTCCGTTGCTGCCCAGATTCGATCCCGGAACCTTTGAATGAGAAGCGAACACTTCAACCTCCAGGCCACAAGAGCCCCCACATTGTCCTTTAAATTCTTCTTGTGTCAGCTCCTTATGATTGTAGGCAGTGAACAGGTTCTGTCTTTCTTCCTCCTTGATACATTAACAAGGTCTCCTGGTGGCTTGGTTTGTTGCTGTGTTAAGGTAAACATCACAGAGATGCCGTCTCTAAAACCTTTGCACACATTATTATGATGAATGTTTTGGTGCATTTTCTGAAAAACAAATATTTTTTTATGTATCAAACAGATCGAATTAAAGCGGCCAAGCAAGCGTTGGATTACGTGAGGACAATAGAACGCACACACAACTGCACTGGGGGCACAGAGGAAACTCTGACCTTGAACTTCGACCATGACCGTTGGATGTCTTATTCTGACCCCGCAATACGGACAGCCAACTACCTGAGCAAAATTCTGGCCATCGACGGCGATCTCTCAGCTCTGGGTGACGACAAGTTCTACGCCCTGGTCAGTGGTTACATTACCTCACAACTATACTAATGTTCAGCAAGCTCTCTGCATACTATAGTTTGTTGCTTCTTTCTTACCAAATATCCATAATAACACCTATAACACTAGTGCAAACTAATTGTGCTGCAAACGTGCAGTGAAACCAACTTTTAAATTTAAACAAAACGTTCCCTTTGTAGTTTTTAATACGTTTAACTAGCCTTTTCTTTACCCTAAACGGCTGTCCCTGTATCGATGGTTGTATTTTTACTAAAAAATGAAGACTTTTTAATCCAACTGACTCGTGCAGATGTCCTTAACCTTAAGCGCAGAGCACCTTTGACGTTTTTCAAGCAAAACATCATTCGTGCGTACTAGATTACTTAGTGATGGCTTGCTTTTGTCCGCTGAAAAGAAGACAGATCCTTAAAGAATCTGGATAGGAGCGCTGACAGTGTGTTAGATGTATTTTTTTTTGTTGGTAAGTGTTTTACGGTGCTCGCAACTGCATAAGGTCGTATGAGCGCGCTGGATACACCAAACATTTTCAATTGGTAGGAAATTTTGAATTTTGCCTGGGTGGCGGCCGAAGCCTACTCTTATCGATTTTGGATCACCAAGGGGTCTTTAACGTGCGCAACTTGCACACGGGACCTCCGAGATTTTTCGCCCTTGTCCGAGAAGGTTAGGTGTAGATCTTTCCTACCAGAAGATCAGGGGTGTGGCTAAAAGACAGCAGTAAGAAGTAGCCAAGGAGTAGCAGTAGAAAGGCTGCAGAAAGAGTCAGGAGCCCAGAGGAGGGGGCAAAGGAGGTGAGGGGGTGGGGGCAGAAAGTGGAGACGAAAGCAGACGACAGAATATTGCAAGAGAGAAGGAAAGAAGGTGAAAGGAGACAATTTTAGAGAAGAAAATTTTTCCGTCGCTACCTGGATTCGAACCCGGGACCTTTGAATGAGAGGCGAACACCTTAACCTCTAGGCAACGAGAGCCCCCAGATGTATTTACAATTAGTTACGTCATTAATGTGATGTTGATAGCAGATCATGAATACGATATATTATTTATCGTATTTGATCAGCGCTCCCATTGAATAACACGTTTTGTCTGACAGCGGTGCGCTAAGATATAATTTATGTATTTAGTTATGTCCGCACAGTGTAGCGAGCGGCTTGAATGACGGCTGTCTCTGACCTCAATAAAAACAACTATCGGTGAATTTTTAAAGTAGGCTATTTTGTTTGTTTTGTTTGTTATTTTAAACTTCTTGTTCTGTTTTCTTGTTTTTGATGTTGTCTGGCTGGCTTTAAAGGGGTTTGTAAAAAGGGATTGGCTATGCTTGTCCTTGTAGAAGTAAACATTGATCGGAAGTCCTGCTTCTTAAAGATAACTCAACATTGAGCACCCTGCTTCCTGAGGGATTTAATTATGTCGATGGAGGTGTATAACATTTTACAAATTAGCTGACCAACTCTTGCGATTGTGCCCCAGGTTAGGAACAACGTCCACGGCGGCTCCCTGATCTTTGGCTCTGCCATCGCCCTCGAGCCTGATGTCATCGCGGGGAGGACCAAGTTCTGTCCCTACGCCTTCCGCGACAACGGCTCTGTGAGAGCCTTCGACATCGCCATCAACTACGACTACCAACAGGACTCCACGGAGTGGTACCACGCCGTCCGCATCTCCAACCTCAGCAACATCTCTGTTGCGGTGGACAGGATCACTATAGAGTGAGTGCCACCTCGAGTGATATATGGTGGGACACCTTTATAATGTCCGCTGTTTCACTTAACGGTGCAAGTCCCCACACACCAACTCCACAATTTCTTAAGCAGTAGAACCGACGTCGATACTGTAATGATTAGGTTCTTCATTGTTGAGCACAGAAGGCGCGGGTTCGAATACGTATGGAGAATAGTCATTTTATATCTAGTATCTCAGTCTGCCTGGTTATGTTCATCCCACTTAACCAGGTTATCCCTGATGTTTTCCACTTAGTTACTGCATTTTTTTACTGAGATGTAGCATCCGTCGCAATCCGAGTTACGCCAAGAAAACATTGGAGAAACAAATCCATTCTTAGCGCAAATGATCTTAATTGTGTGATTGGTGACATGAAAAGAAATATTTTTTTCTTAATCACCCTCCCCCTTGCCCATCCCCCCTTGCACACACACACACTCAATCCCTTTCCACCCCTGCCTTTTTATTAGTGTAAGATCTATTTTTCTTTTCTGTAGTGACCAAGACAAAGTGAATGGCACCATATACCTTACTCAGCCAGTGGCTGCCTACCCTGATGGCCACTGGACCTACCCGTATTACGACTGTGGTGGAGGAGACATCTGGATGACTACGTACTCTGCCCCAATTATGGCCCAGAACAGCGAAGCAAAGGTCATCTTTAGGTATGGCAAGCTGTTGTCACAGCGTCGTAATATATGTCACACCTTTTTAATTTCATATTTTAAAAGTATTTTAAGAACTTGTTTTGCAAAATCTTGTATTTATATTTTGTCTTCAACGCTTCTCTTCCCCACGTCCTACTCTTCTGCCTGTCTGTCTGTCTGTCTATCTGTCTGTCTGTCTGTCTGTCTGTCTGCCGTTTGTCTATCATATCTCTTGTCTATCTATGCCGTTTTTGCTTTTTTATTCATTTTTACTTTCTGACCTCCCAAAGAAATAGACGTTTTTAATTAATAGAGGTGTGGTCACACACAATCTCTCCTCTTCCTTCCGTTCCTTTCCCTCCTCTTCATAAAAGGCGAAAATAATGACAAAGAATCAACCAAACAGAAAAAAAAGGAAAAAGAAAAAAGAAAGCACCATCACCGACAACAACAACAAGAACATCAAACAAATCGAACCAAACCAAACCAAAACAAAACAAAACTAAACTAAAACACCTTATAAAGCTCATAGTTTCTATTGGTTATATCTGTCGTCCAGAGGTGTGGCCACTATTGATATAGAGTTGACCAATCTGGACATAAACCAGTGTGACCTTGACGAAAACGAGGATTCCCAGGCACTGGACGTTTTCCGCGGCACGCACAACTGTCAGCCAACGACACAGGTAATTGAACGTCACGTGACGGTTGAGAGTCTTATTATTAATGTGGTGTGTGTGCGCGCACGCGTAAGTGTGTGAGTATGTGTGTGTGTGTGTGTGTGTGTGTGTGTGTGTGTGTGTGTGTGTGTGTGTGTGTGTGTGTGCACGCGCGAGCACATATGTGTGTGTATGTGTGTTTGTGTGTGTGTGTGTGTGTCCGCATGTGTGTGTGTGTGTGTGTGTCCGCATGTGTGTGTGCTGGTATAAGAGATATGTACAACGCCAGAGACTAGATTTATGGAAAATTGATAATAGCATACATAGTTTCCAATTCGGAACTGTTACGAACCAGTAGGCACAGAATCCCAGTGGGAGTCACAGTGTGGTCGACGCATTATCTTAGAAAGCTGGGATGTTCAACATAACTATTTTGTTGACGGACCACTTTCAAACATTGGAACAACAACGAGGGTTGGATACCAACAAAATACGTAATCTACTGACAACAAGTGTATTGAGTTATCGATTTAATAATAATAGATAGCATTTGTATAGCGCTAATCCCCGCTCAACACCAAGCTCTATGCGCTTTACAATCTATATCATTACCCCAGCAAACCTGAGAGTATTCGCTGAAACAAACTCAACTTCCTGGGGAGCATATAGTGCAAGCTGCCATTTATGGGCGCTAAAACACTATAAAAAAAACAACTGACAAAATCTTCTGCTGTCTATGGCCGAGTACCAATTCCCTCCTGGGTGAAGTGAGGAAAATTCGTGTAAAGTGCCTTTCCCAAGGACACAACCTCGGGCTGACGGCTCGAAACCCGAACCCGCAACCTCGCGGATAGCGAAGGGAGGGTCACACTGACTGGGCAGGGAGGGATGTGGGGGTCTTGTGGGGGTCCCGCGGGCCACCTGTCGCACACCTCTGTCTCGTTGGAACAGAAATAATGAGATATTATTTAATCTGGCTGTAAACGTCCAGACGGGCCAAAACATGAGAGGGGGAGGGGGTATACTTTACTTTTACCGATTATTCTCTCTCTGTCTCTCTGTCTCTCTGCCTCTGTCTCTACCTGTCTATCTGTTTGTCTGTCTGTCTGTCTGTCTGTCTGTCTGTCTATCTCTGTCTCTCTCTCTTTCTCTCTCTCATACACGCACA